TAGAGTGCTATGGCATCAAAGCTTGCAGCAACCTCAACTCTTAGGCTCAAGTGTTTTTCTTGCCTCAGCCTCCTAAGTAGATTGGACTACAGGTGCCTGCCCCTGACTCTGGCTAGTTTTAGAGATTAGGGTCTCACTCTTGCTCAGGCTGGTCTCAAACTCCTGAGGTCAGGTGATCCACCAGAATTGTTTTCTTCTTTTTTTTTTTTAATTTGTAACTTGGCTTTTCTTTTTCCTTTTTTTCTTTTTTTTTTCTGAGACAGACTCTCACTTTGTTGCCCGGGGTAGAGTGCTGTAAAATCACAGCTCGCAGCAACCTCCAGCTCTAGGGCTAAGCGATTCTCTTCCCTCAGCCTCCCGAGTTGCTGGAACTGTAGGCACCTGCCACAATGCCCAGCTATTTTTGTTGCAATCGCCACTGCTGTTTTAGCTGGCCGGGGCCGGGTTCGACCCATCACTCTCAGTATATGGGGCCAGCCCCCTTACCCACTGAGCAACAAGTGCCGCCCTTTTTTCTTTTTTAATTTGAGACAGAGTCTCACTATGTTGCCCTCAGTAGAGTGCCGTGGTGTCACAGCTCACAGAAACCTCAAACTCTTGGGCCCAAGAGATTCTCTTGTTTCAGCCTCCCAAGTAGCTGGGACTACAGGCGCTTACCACAACGCCAGGCTATTTTGTGTTGCAGTTGTCATTATTGTTTAGGCAGCCCGTGCCGAGTTTGAACCCACCAGCCTTGGTGCATGTGGCCGACACCATAACCATTGAGCTACGGGCACCAAGCTCAGAACTGTTTACTTAATTTCATCTTAAATTATCCATTGCAAGTGTATAAAATAAACTGATGTTTCTATATTGATCTTGTAGCTTGCAATCTTGCTGAATTCATTTATTTTAGTTCTAATAGTTCTTTTAGTGAATTTCTTACAAGATCATACCATATGAAAATGGAGATAGTTTTACTACTTCCTTTCCATCTGGAGTCATTTTATTTCATTTTTTGTCTACTTGCTCTGGCAGAATCTCCTATACAATGGTAAATAGATGTGGCCTTCTATTTCCAGAGTTTTAAGGTTAAGAGGTTAGGTTACTAATTTGAGAGCCTTCTTCTTTCTTACCATAGACATTTGTTTTTGTTTTCTGCAGTATCTAAGTTTTTATTAATGTGAGTTTGGGTGTTTTTTTTTAGAGCCAGAGTCTTACTTTGTTACCCTCAATAGAGTGCTGTAGCATCACAGCTCATGGCAACCTCCAGCTCTTGGGCTTAGGTAATTCTCTTGCTTCAGCCTCCCGAGTAGCTGGGACTACAGGCGCCCACCACGGGGCTGCAGGTTCAAACCTGACACCCTCGGTATATGGGGCCAGCGCCCTGCTCACAGAACCACAGGCGCTGCCCTAATCTGAGTTTGTTTTTTTTTTAGACAGAGCCTCAAGCTGTCACCCTGGTAGAGTGATGTGGCATCACAGCTCACAGCAACCTCCAACTCCTGGGCTCAAGCAAGTCTCCTGCCTCAGCCTCCCAAGTAGCTGGGACCCTAGGCGCCCACCACAATGCCCAGCTATTTTTTGGGGGTGAAGCCATCATTGTTGTTTGGCGAGCCCAGGCTGGATTCAAACCCGCCACCTTGGGTGTACATGGCTGGCGCCTTAGCCATTTGAGCCACAGGTGCCGAGCCCTAATCTGAGTTTTTAAAAACAAGCATCCAAGCTCAGTGCCTGTAGCTCAAGTGGCTAAGTCATCAGCCACATACACCAAAGCTGGCAGGTCAAATCCAGCCCAGGCCTGCCAAACAACAATGACAACTACAACCAAGAAAAAGCCAGGTGTTGAGGCAGGCTCCTGTAGTCCCAGCTACTTGGGAGGCTGAGACAAGAGAATCGCTTAAGCCCAGAAGTTGGAGGGCTGGAGGTTGTTGTGAGCTGTGACACCACATCACTCTACCATGGGCGATAAAGTGAAACTCTGTCTCTACAAAAAAAAAAAAAAAAAAGTTCCTATTCATCAAACTTTCTGTAGGGATCTCAGGAGTGGCTTATTAGAATCTCAGCTGACTTTTTGTTGTTGTTGTTGTTGCAGAGTGGCCTGGGCCAGGTTTGAACCCACCACCCTCAGTATATGGGGCCAGT